GTAGAACTAAAGCGCGAGCTTACGACATAATTTGCAAAGACCTTTTGACTATGTTCAGGATAATTAAGTTCATCTTATGAACTCCCACTTAGATAGACATCCCTCTAGTCATCTAAGTGATTACATGATCCGAGTCAACTAGGCCGTGACCGATCATCACGTGAGACGGACTAGTCATCATCGGTGAACATCTTCATGTTGATCGTATCTACCATACGACTCATGCTCGACCTTTCGGTCTCTTGTGTTCCGAGGCCATGTATGTACATGCTAGGCTCGTCAAGTCAACCTAAGTGTTTCGCGTGTGTAAATCTGGCTTACACCCGTTGTATGTGAACATTAGAATCTATCACACCTGATCATCACGTGGTGCTTCGAAACAAAGAACTTTCGCAACAGTGCACAGTTAGGGGGAACACTTTCTTGAAATTTTAATGAGGGATCATCTTATTTACTACCGTCGTTCTAAGCAAATAAGATGCATAAACATGATAAACATCACATGCAATCAAAAAGTGACATGATATGGCCAATATCATTTTGCTCCTTTTGATCTCCATCTTCGGGGCTCCATGATCATCATCGTCACCGGCATGACACCATGATCTCCATCATCATGTTCTCCATCATCGTGTCTCCATGAAGTTGTCTCGCCAACTATTACTTCTACTACTATGGCTAACGGTTTAGCAATAAAGTAAAGTAATTACATGGCGTTGTTCAATGACACGCAGGTCATACAATAAATTAAGACAACTCCTATGGCTCCTGCCGGTTGTCATACTCATCGACATGCAAGTCGTGATTCCTTTTACAAGAACATGATCAATCTCATACATCACATATCATTCATCACATTCTTTTGGCCATATCACATCACATAGCATACCCTGCAAAAACAAGTTAGACGTCCTCTAATTGTTGTTTGCATGTTTTACGTGGATGCTATGGGTTTCTAGCAAGAACGTTTCTTACCTACGCAAAACCACAACGTGATATGTCAATTGCTATTTACCCTTCATAAGGACCCTTTACATCAAACCCGATCCGACTAAAGTGGGAGAGACTGGCACCCGCTAGCCACCTTATGCAACAAGTGCATGTCAGTCGGTGGAACCTGTCTCACATAAGCGTACGTGTAAGGTCGGTCCGGGCCGCTTCATCCCACAATACCGTCGAAACAAGATTGGACTAGTAACGGTAAGCATATTGAACAAAATCAACGCCCACAACAACTTGTGTTCTACTCGTGCATAGAAACTACGCATAGACCTAGCTCTGATACCATTGTTGGGGAACGTAGCAGAAATTCAAAATTTTCTACGCATCACCAAGATCAATCTATGGAGTAATCTAGCAACGAGGGAAGGGGACTGCATCTACATACCCTTGTAGATCGCTAAGCGGAAGCATTGCAAGAACGCGGATGAAGGAGTCGTACTCGTAGCGATTCAGATCACGTTTGATTCCGATCTAAGCGTCGAACCACGGCGCCTCCGTGTTCAACACACATGCAGCCCGGTGACGTCTCCCATGCCTTGATCCAGCAAGGAGAGAGGGAGAGGTTGGGGAAGACTCCGTCCAGCAGCAGCACGACGGTGTGCTGGTGGTGGAGGAGCGCGGTACTCTAGCAGGGCTTCGCCAAGCACTACGAGAGACGAGGAGGGAGAGAGGTAGGGCTGCGCCAAGAGGGAGATGTTCTTGTGTCTTAGGCAGCCCCAAAACCTCCACTATATATAGGGGCAAAGGGGAGGGGAGGCGCCCTAGGGTTTCCCCTAGGGGGGGCGGCAGCCAGGGCAGATGGGATCTCCCCCTTGGGTGACTTGGCCCCCAAGCCAGGAGGTGGGAACCCTAGATGGGGTGCCCCAAACACCCTGGTCATGTGGGAATAGGTGAGGGGGGCGCACAGCCCCTTAGTGGGCTGGTTTGCCCGCTTCCCTTGGCCCATGAAGCCCCCAACACTTGACGGGGCTCCCGAAACACCTTTCGGTCATGCTGGTCATCACCCGGTACCTCCGGAACACTTCCGGACTCCAAAACCCTTCGTCCAATATATCAATCTTTACCTCTGGACCATTCCGGAACTCCTCGTGATGTCCGGAATCTCATTCGGGACTCCGAACAACATTCAGTAACCACGTATATCTATTCCCTATAACCCTAGCGTCACCGAACCTTAAGTGTGTAGACCCTACGGGTTCGGGAACCATGCAGACATGACCGAGACGTTCTCTAGTCAATAACCAACAGTGGGATCTGGATACCCATGTTGGCTCCCACATGTTCCGCGATGATCTCATCGGATGAACCACGATGTCGAGGATTCAATCAATCTCGTATTCAATTCCCTTTGTCTAGCGGTATAGTACTTGCCCGAGATTCGATCGTCAGTATCCCGATACCTTGTTCAATCTCGTTACCAACAAGTCTCTTTACTCGTTCTGTAACACATCATCCCGTGATCAACCCCTTGGTCACATTGTGCACATTATGATGATGTCCTACCGAGTGGGCCCAGAGATACCTCTCCGTCACACGGAGTGACAAATCCTAGTCTCGATTCGTGCCAACCCAACAGACACTTTCGGAGATACCCGTAGTGCACCTTTATAGCCACCCAGTTACGTTTTGACGTTTAGTACACCCAAAGCATTCCTACAGTATGCGGGAGTTGCACAATCTCATGGTCTAAGGAAATGATACTTGACATTAGAAAAGCTTTAGCATACGAACTACACGATCTTTGTGCTAGGCTTAGGATTGGGTCTTGTCCATCACATCATTCTCCTAATGATGTGATCCCGTTATCAACGACATCCAATGTCCATGGTCAGGAAACCGTAACCATCTATTGATCAACGAGCTAGTCAACTAGAGGCTTACTAGGGACATGGTGTTGTCTATGTACCCACATATGTATCTAAGTTTCCTATCAATACAATTATAGCATGGATAAGAAACGATTATCATGAACAAGGAAATATAATAATAATAACTAATTTATTATTGCCTCTAGGGCATATTTCCAACACTGGATTCCTCGTAATCATTCTTGCAAGGTTGTCATCCCAAAAGGAAGATGTCAGTTGTCATGGGTCTTTGGACTTATGGATGTGAATGGTGCATGTGATGAAAATTTAGTACGTCAATATATTTCTTTGGACGCTCATGAGATCTTGAAGATCTGACCGTGCTCTCAAAACTAGGATGATTTCCTAGCTAGTGTGGGTTGGGGAGAAGTCTGGAAATTTTACCATCCATAGTGCTTATCAGATGGCTCTTGAGGAGCAGAATTAAGTGGAACAACACTCTTGTAGTTCATCACCAAATGGGGATCGTCCTTGATGGAAGTTTTCTTGGGGAGGTGTTGCACCTCCAAAGGTAAATATTTTTATTTGGCGTCTGGCAGCAAACTCTCTTCCAACTTATTTTTTGAAGCACTCTAGAAATATGGAGCTTCCGGCCTCCTTTCCTATTTGTGATGGCGAACACGAAAATTCTTTCGTGCCCTGTGTTGTGGCCTTTTGTTTCGTTATGGAAGGCTATGGCTGAATGCTGGTCCCTTTCTGATGTGGCGCAGATAAGAAATACTAACACAAATTGGATCCTTCATGTCATGTGTGAACTGAGAGGCTCAATGACTGAAGCTATTTATGTTGTTGTGGCGCATTTGGTACGCTTCAGAATGAAGTAGTTCATGCAAAACTCGCACCTCCATTGGATGTCTCAAAGGTTTATGTGTACCTATGTAGCTTTCATTTTACACATCTCGCAGGCGCCATGATATGACCTAGTGAAGGGTAAAATTGTGCTCTCAGATGATGACCTTCACAATCGATCCTTCCCGTTTGGAAAAATACCCAGGCTTTGCTTTGGTTTTCTTCCTAGCATAGTTATGTAAAGTTGAACACCGATTGCTCCTTTTATGAGGGTGTTTGGTTGGGATTTTACTTGCCTTTTTTTTACTTTAGCTTTTTTGGCTTATAAGGTGCTTTTGAGAAAAATATAAGCCTAGGTGTTTTTTTGGCTTATAAGCCAAAGTGAAAAAGGCCAAGTAAAAGCCCAACCAAACATCCCCCTATGTCGGTGGATAGATCTGCAGCAACGAGAATGCTTTTGAGAAGCTCGAATGGTGAAATAATTTTCACTTCATGTAGGCACCTTCTTTTTTGCAAGGACGCTATCGAAACTGAACTATATGCAATATCTAAAGGAGTCTCGCTATCTTTGCAATGGAGTTATCTTTTGAATCTAATTGTTTGGGGGCCATATACTTTTTTTTACCCCATGAGGCTATGCTAAGCAATAAAGAACCTTATAGATCAAGAAATTTTTTGTTGGGTCAGGAGATCAAGCGGAAGGTGGAGGATAGAGAATGTTGTATTATTCATGTCCGTCGTAGTTAAAATAATGCCACCCATTTTATGGCATTATATGATAGTGAGCAGCGGCGTACTACAGTTTGGCTAGGTACAGGGTCTTTGGTTGACGTGTTTGGATCTCGTCTTCGGTCATGTGTCTACGGGGTTGATCGTTCCAATCTACGCTTTTTTATCGTATTTGGTTCGCTCTAGTGTTCGTAGTCGTCGCTAGTTGGTCCACTGATATAGTTGTCTAATATTCTTTGTACTGCAGGCAGAATATATTGAAAATTTATCCTAATAATAATAATACAATAATACTCCATGTGTCCCATAACATAAGAGCGTTTTTTACACTACATGTGAATAAGCGTTCTTATATTATGGGACGGAGGGAGTATATTATATAAAAAAAAGAGATACAAAGACTTGGCCACGAAAAAAAAGGCCAAGGTGCTTTGGTACTGCTACTAGCAAAACCTCGTCCTCTCCTTCGCTTCTCCTGTCCTGCTGCATCCGCCGCCGCCGCTCTCCTGAATCCCAACGAATTTTAGCGGCTACCTTGTTGGCTGCATCCGCCGCCGCTGTTCCTCGCCGCTGCTCGCGCCGCGCGGCGGAAGAGGGGCGGAGGCGGCAATAATGAAGAGGCTAGTAAGTACGTTTTCTCCCGTGATTTTCGATCGTTCGCTCGAGTGCTGGATTCTTCCTGTCCGTGATTGCTCTTTCCTTGCTGCTCCGTGATGTGTCGCTCTTGGATTCTCGTTTTGGTGCTTGATTTGTGTGTCTCCCGTGTGATCCGTTCCCAGTCTCGGATCTCTGCCTGGGGAATGGCGTATCCTTTCCTCGCTTCCTGATCGTTCCCCTGAGGTCTGCCGAGCAAAGATGCGATTTCTCGTGCTTCTTGATGTGTCTTGCGAGTATGTGTGTGTTCTCGGAACAGAGCACTGATCTCGAAGAGCGATGTTTTGATGTGTAAGGAATGCTAATTTCTTGCTGTGTTCATGGCAGTGGCGTCTTCAGGTGGTCCTGTCATGGGTCCTGGCCGTCGTTCTCGGATCAGTCCACGGCCATGTGCGGCGGCAATGGGGGGAGCAGGTGCCCCGGGAGTCGCGGCCGCACAGCGTCACCATTACGGAGTTCGGCGCCGTAGGGGATGGTAGGACCCTGAACACCCTGCCCTTCCAAAACGCCGTCTTCTACGCCCGGTCCTTCGCCGACAAGGGCGGCGCGCAGCTGTACGTCCCCAAGGGTCGATGGCTCACCGGCAGCTTCAACCTCACCAGCCACCTCACCCTCTTCCTCGAGAAAGATGCCATCATCATGGGCGCGGAGGTGATGATGGCTTTAATTTGGGTTGCAGTTATTGTTTATTTTCATTGAATTGTTATGATGGTAGTTACAAATTCTGCTTTGCATTGAATTGTGGAGAAGGAGTGTGTTAGATGAGGGCTATGGTTGCATGAATCTGAGGATACATATCCTTTTCAGCTGCATTTGCATTGAATTGCTAGTGATTAGGATAGGCATCTCCAATCAGTTCATCTTAGTTTCTTTGGACATGATTGGTGGATATACCTGATGAAGTATTGATTTTGACATGTGCAATGTGAGGTCATAGGTCATGGATTTATCCAGGAAACGCCAATGTAGTTTGATTGTGCTCTTTGTTGGCGCGCTAGACGGCAGAGGAAATCCTATGCAGATACCCGATCAGCAGGGTTCAAGTTGGCTGGTATTTTTAGTTGTTTCCTTCTGCTTTACCATAAACAGCGAGTGTTTGGAAGGTGAAACTTACCTGTTTGATGTGAGGGCTGTGGCTAATAAGAGATAATTTTCTTTTGCATTGTTTTGAAGTCAAGCTGCTCTCTTTAATTATGCATGAACAGAGCATGGGCATGCTGCTCTGATGCTCCCGCAAACATTGCGATTGCTTGTCGGTTATATATAAATTCCTTGTGTGCCATGCGGCTATTTTTGTTTCTTGCATGTAATTCGAAGGAAGACAAACATTTATAGCTGTACTTAATTATATGTGTTTTGAGTCATCGAAAACAATTTGTTCTTCATACTTGAATGTTTCTCCACCTTTTTAGTACTAACCATATTCATCTATTTGTCCCCTCACTATAGGAGTCATCGCAATGGCCAATTGTGGAACCTTTGCCATCTTATGGCCAGGGACTAGACCTTCCAGGTCCTAGACATCGTAGCTTAATAAATGGATACAATTTAACGGATGTTGTTATTACTGGTAATTTTCTTGTTATATGTATGGCTTGACTATGTCACATTTGTTTTTCCAGTTTTGACAACTGTTGCGTGCTTGGTCCACTTGTTGTAGGGAATAATGGACTTATCGATGGCCAGGGCTCAGTATGGTGGAATTGGCTTCGCTCTCATGAACTAAATCATAGCCGCCCTCATCTCGTGGAGTTTCTGTATTCTGAAGAAATTGTGATCTCAAACTTGACATTTTTGAACTCACCAGCCTGGAGCATACATCCAATGTACTGCAGGTGCATTAGCATTAATGAGCTTCATGCACTAGGTGTAATTTCGTGAGTGTTATTTGAGCATATACTGTTTTGTTTGTTTTCCAGCAATGTAAAGGTTCATAACGTCACAATTAAGACTTTGTTGGATGCTCCACTCACGGATGGCATAGTTCCAGGTATGATTGCTTCTAGTGTGGAGTACCATCTCATCTTCACACATTGTTTAGTGATTAATCATATGTATTTTGCACAGTAGTACTCCCAGTACTCCCTCCGTCCCGTAATGTAAAACATTTTCTGACACTAGTGTAGTGTCAAAAAATGTCTTACATTATGGGACGGAGGGAGTACTATTTTAAGATTAGGGTTCACAAATGAGCCAAGCCATAATTTTAAGATAGCAAATCCATTTGCATTTATTTTGAGTTATTTCACACTAATATTTAGGAGACTAATGCTGACACAACAGGTGAACTACTAGAAGTTTTTCAAGGGAACTCAGCTGACACACCTTTTTCTTTATGTGGTATTTGTGGTTGCCATGTGCAATAAAAAGCTAGTTAACTCGAATCATTGTATTAAGAGAAATATGAGTATACTTTAAAAGGCCCTATGCAACATGCTATGGATTTCAAACCATTTTTTAGCTAACTTTAAGTGGTGTTGAACTGTTGTCTTACAACTTTTTTTGCGTATGTAGATTTCGATAGACATGACAAGGAGTTTTACTTACTATTTCAACTGCATCATTCTGTCTCCACTCAATAACCATAAGAAGCAACTTTTACTTCTTTTACTAATGGAGCATTCCTTATCCAGATTCATGTTTGAATGTGTGCATCGAAGACAGCACCATTAGTGTCAGTCATGAAGCCATCTCAGTGAAAAGTGGGTGGGACAAGTACGGCATTTCTATCGGAAGGCCAACCTCGGACATTCATATCAGCAGAGTGGATCTTCAAGCGTCATCCGGTGCCGCACTTGCATTTGGCAGTGAGATGTCCGGTGGGATCTCATGTATTCATGCTGATCACCTAAGGATACATGGTTCTGATAAAGGGTTCTCTTTCAAGACCACCCCTGACCGTGGAGGTTACATCAAGGAAGTGGTCATCTCGGATGTAGAAATAGATGGTATCCGTGTGGCCATTGAATTCATAGGTAATCTATCAAGCCATCCAGATGATGATTTTGATCCATCTGAGCTCCCGGTGATTGATCAAATCACCCTAAAGAATATGGTGGGAACAAACATCTCGGTTGCAGGAGTTTTATCAGGAATTGACGGTGATCCATTTACTGCGATCTGCCTTTCCAATCTCAGTTTCTCGATAACTGATTCGGCCCATTCTAGTCCCTGGTCTTGTTCCAATGTTTCTGGATACTCGGAATCAGTCTTCCCTGAGCCTTGCTCGGAACTGTATGCACCATTCTCAAATTCTTCAATTTGCTTCTCCCTTCCTAGTTACAGTGCCCTTGCCGTGGCATAGTCACATATATATTCTTGTGTTCATCCTTCACTTTTCTTGTCCCAGTCCTTGTACAATTCAGAAACATTAAGCCTCCACCACCATCTTTTTTCTAAAAAAATTCCCAATAAATGCGTCAAGAAGAATCATATCAGGGTACTCTCTTATGGGGCCTATGCTCAGACAACAAGATGCATAATGATCATGAGGAAGAATCAAGTGGGGTTGTGGACAGCTATGTGCTTGCTTGTACAGCTACATTTCTTCATTCAATCTGTAAGAAAATTTTCTTTTTGGTAGGGCTTGTGTGCACAACAGTTGTCATTTGGTTATAAATTATCCAACCGTGGTTAAATTACCTCTGTATATTCTATCTCCCAGTGAGAATCAGTAAATCCAATAAACAACATCACATGTTCTCTTGGAGTTTGGCAGCCTGGCTATGAATGTAGAGTCACACGTCTCCCTGGTTAAATAATTTGTTGTCAGATGAGTTGTTAATTTGATGCTGATGGATCCATTTGTCCTCTCCCGGGCTCATTCATTATGATTAGCTTGTCCTTGCTGCCATGCTGTACTCCAATGGGGTCATGTTAGGTTGCCAACTGTGCAATCTTCAACTGCCACCTGTTGCTGAACAGCTGATAAATACATGTTCAGATATTGATGTTGAGCTGGTCATGCTGGCCTTTTCATGTAAACTTTTGGAGGAATCTCTTGATGTCAAGAAGAAAAATAAGCCTGTTGGAGCTTCATTATTCTCTGCAGGGACGCAATAGGTGTTGTATATTGTCATCGCCAGAGTGATTAGGCATTCACAAAAAGTAGCACAAGATTCCTCTTGGTCTATGGACTAGTCTTTACCGGAGTTGATATTACTTACGCTCTTATATCATGGGATGACGGAGTGAGTATATATTACACTGAACTAGATACCCTTATTTTGTTCATGTGTCCTATTCTAGCCGACTAAGGGCATCTCCAACGCTGACCCCGTACCGCACGGACCAGACGTGTTTTGCCATCCAACGAGGGCCTGTATCGGTTGGATGCGTGTTTTGCCATCCAACGAGGGCCTGTATCGGTTTGCCATCCAACGAGGGCCTGTATCGGTTTGTCGGCCGATCCGAATGTGATTTTTCTCGTAAATCGGAAACAAACTAGGGGCCGCCGTCACACCCGCTTGTGACTGCGCCGTTCCACCCAAAAACACCTCCTTCGCCTATGTCATTTGTCACCCAAAGTCGGCTACCCACATTCATGCCGCTCTAGAGCGGCTGCAGCGTATTGACACCGACCCATAGTGATCGTGACCTCTTGTTGGCGCCGACAACGAAGCGGCTCGTCGGCCGAGGGCGCCACTCGTGCCGCATCCCTGGTGTTCGCACCTATTCAATGCTAGAGAGACGTTTATCAGGCGGGACGGGATGGACATTTACCACGCCGATTTGATGACCGTCCCTCTGTCTGCCGCCATTAAACAAGCTCGTAAGCCGAGAAACCAACTCTGTCGCCCGCGCATTGATGCACCCTTATGCTTGGCCTCGCCGATCGCCGACATCCACTATTTTTAAGGCGGACACACCTGGCTCGCAGCACACCACAACCCATCCGCCTGCCATCTTTCTCCTGTGCACCACGACTGCCATGACCGCGAGCGGAAACACGCTGTAGGAGAGCCTCTTGACGCAACATAAGCACAAGGTGGTAGCCCTTGCGGACGCCTGACAGAGCTGCCGTGCTAGGCGGATAGAAGCCGGCATGCCGGCCAGCTCTCCGGAGGTCTCCGAGACGACCCCACGATGGAAAATTGCCCCGACGAGGACTCCCCATTGCAGGCCATGTCGGTGCATGCTGGCTTGACGATTGAGCAGGCGTAGGCGCACTTCTATGGGTCTTATCCCCGCCGCTCATGGAGATAGCAGATGGAGGACGCGGGCGCCCAAAGGGAACAACAAGGACTTGGAGAACGGGCGCCGTCATAGGCTAGGTTTAGGTCCGCTCCTTTTTTCATAATAAAAACTATCCGAAATGTAACGAATATGCCCTGAAAATCGTCTAGTTTGCATGTAGTATGTCCGGTTTATTAAAGCCCGGCTGGAAAATGTATGCGGATAACTTTGGATGTCCGGTTCCAACATCAGTGTCCATGGACTAGTACCCCTGTCCGTCGACGGGTTCGATGTCCGGTTTGTAGGTCAGCATTGAAGATGCCCTAACATCCTATATATGTTTCTCGTAGTAAGAAAAATAAACATCCTATATACGTAGATTAAAGCAAAGTCATCTTCTGAAGTTTAGTTGCGGAACGGCAAATGATAATTAAAAATTCACCATACATATTTAATATTCATGAAAGTACAGTTCAGAAATAATGGTATCTAAAACGCTGACCCTTAAAATGGACACCGGACACGTATTTGTCCGCCAACGCGTACGAACGGATCCACGGACAGTGATACAGGCGTCGACCATCTAACCATGTTCGTATACATTTTAAATCAGACGAATTACATGCAAACCCGATGATTTTCATCTAAACCGGAGCACATTCATTACACTTTCAACATATTTCATTAAACTAAAGTGATCGGACCTAAACCTAGTCTAAATCTACATTGGCGTCCAATCTCGAAGTCCTTGTTGTTCCCCTGCGTGCCTTTGCCGGGCGGCTGGTGCCCATGTCTGGTGGAGATGAGACCCATAAAGTGAAGGTGTGGTCGCTGGTAAGAAAGAGCAAGACATGGAAACAAACTGGCCCACTTGGGACTTGAGACTCCGTCGCCTCCCGGATTGTTGTAAAAAACAGTAAAGGACTGATTTGTTTCCTAGTGCACACGTTGAGAAAATAGTCCATGGCGCACCGAGAAGAATGCTATCTTCTTTCATGAACTTCAAACTTCGCCGAAAAATATCCACATCGCAGAGAAGAAAGAGATATGTTTCGAGAAGAAATCATACCTTGAAGTTTGTGTGAAGAAGTTGACCCCTCAAAAATATTGTTGATGCAAGCAAATTTCCGTTTGGTTTGTCAGAAGAAGAATGACTGCAGTTGAGAAGATTGAAGGCGAAGCGAATACATATGATTTGTTTGGTTGTTCTTCTTTCTCTTGTTTGAGTCATAGGACTATGATACGTCTCAAATGTATTTACATTTTTATTTTCAAATGTTATCATATTATCACTTTTGTATGCTTTATATATTTTATATTATTTTTCTATACTAACCTATTAATTTAGTGTTCAGTTCTTAATTTTTTTTGGCATGTTTTTGGTTTTTCAGGAAATCCATACCTACAGAAGTTCAAACACGAGTAATAGTAGTAGATGTAGTTGGATTACGGTCTACTTATCACTGGCGTAATGCCTATATGAGATTATATCATGAATGATCATAGTTATAATTTGCGCTATTCTATCAATTACCCAACATTAATTTGTCTACCATGCCTATACATGCTTTCGAGAGAGATGCCTCTACTGAACATATGGCCCTGGGTTTATTTTCCATCAATACAAAAATTCCTACAATTGGGACGTGGAGTTACTGGACACGAGCTAAAACGAGCTCGGAATCCTGGACGTTGAGAGCCCATGCGGATCTGTTCCAGTTCTTTTTACACGCGCTGGTGGGCTGCTAGAAAATGGGCACTATTCAGAAATACGTAAGAGACCATGGGGTGGTGGGCCTTATTTTAACTGGCAGCATGGCGTCCGTTTGCCGTTGACGAGGTGGGCCGTGGATCGGAATCAGCGTACCCGTCTAATCCGTGGACCAGGAAGTTCACTTTCCGTTCGGATTTCAGGCAGAAAATTGACACCCCTAAAAAAAGTAAAAAGATTAAACGCATCGTCTAGTGTCTTCTCTGTAAAGGGCGGGGCTCATTTGGAGCTGGGGACTGGGTCGTAGAGAGAAGGAGCGCCATCGACGAGGCCCCATGGAGTTCGTGATGCAGTCAATAAGTGAGTACGTGCATCCTTGCTTGTTCTATCGGTCTTGTCGCTATTCTTAGTCCGCTCGATTTAGTGATTTAGTGATTGACAGGATTTGGTTTTGGCCTGAATCAGATCCACTTTCCTGGAGGAGGTAGGATAGAGCTTTGTGCCGCCCCTGTGCCGGCAGCGGTGACGAGGGGCGATATGGTGGCGGAGCAGGAGGTGGTGGAGCAGGAACGGGCGGTGGACAGCATCGAAGCTCTGATCTTGGCGGCCAAGGTAGCAGTAGCGGCGAACAGGAGAGGGAGCTTTTCCCCGACGTCGGAGCCGTCAACTGGGAAGATGAATCCCCGGGCGCCTGGATGGAATAAGAGGTTAGTGCTGAATTTGTTCTTACAGTCATTAATCTAGGACTGCAAAAAAGAACTTCTAAGAAGTGGATAATTCCTGCCATTAGAACAAATAGCTGTTTGCAGTAACTTAGTTAGTGTTGGATCTATTCTTGCAGTCAGTAAAACTAGGGATGTACATGAAAGTTCTAATGAGTGGAGTATAACAACTAGGGATTTACATGCAGTCAGTAGCCCGTAATTATTTTTACCCCATAGTCATGCTTGATGAACCCTACGCAGTTAATATGTGAGTTGGCTGCGCTTGCAGGCTGATGCAGAGGAGGGATTTTTTTTCAAGTTTTGGGGATTCTCTCTGCTTGAGGAGGTAGGGGAGAGTTTGGTGCCGGCCCTTGTGGCTGTGAATGGCCTTGCGGTGGTGGATTTGGAGGTGCCACAGCAGGCGGAGCACAAGGCGGCACAACATTGGCCAGTGGACAGCAGTGAAGAACAGATCTTCTCGACGAAGGAGGCAGTGGCCGACAGAAGGGAGAGCTCGCGTCCAACTTTGGAGCTGTCAATGGGGAAGATGAATCCCCAAGCGCCGGGGTGGAATGAGTGGTTAGTGAAGAGCAACTTGCATCGCATCAGAGAATCAAGGATTTAGGGAAATAGAACTAGTCATGACTTACGAAATCCTACAATTAGAGCAAGTGCTGATTGCTCTCTGCATTCATAAAATTCATGCTAAATGTG